TAATGAGCATAGTATCACGTGGACTAACACCAAGCGCTCGAAGAGAGGCGTAGGAGAGTGAACCAATTACACCGGCGCCACCAGTACCAGATGACCAAGTGGAAACGACGTTTCTGTAATAGGAAAAATGCAACAAATAATAAATAAATAAAATAGTATAAAAAGGTATTTAAATGTTATAAATTCATTGATTGGATGAATGGATTTCTGATGGACTTAAAAAATTTTATGCCATTTAGAAAATTTCTACCAGCCAGCAAAAAGTGTGAAAAGGAAAGAAAAGTAAATGGAACGCGGGTTTTTATCGATTTCGTTTTCGGATACTTTCACGGTCTGTTTTCCCACTTACGCCAAACTTAGGTTTCTCTGCTGGCTGGGTAGTTACGAAGATTTTTCAATTCATCAATTGGATGTATCAATTTTGTGAAGTACATATTTCAGAAAAAGAAATTTGGACTACTTTTATAAAAAAGACAGAGACAACTGGACTAATTTTATAAAATAACGGCTGTTTATCTATTCGATGAATTTTTATTGTTATTCATTGGGTAAATTTATTTTTATGGATATTAATTTTTTCCGGCAGTAAAAAATGGGTGCTTCTTTTTTGATAAAAAATATATTCATCTATTCGATTAATGAAAAGTATTTAAATTTTTAACTTAATTAAAAAATATTCTCACCGTGTTAAGTTTTCCTGGTTACAGGAAATAAAATATAACTTATTATATTTTCCAGTGTATTAGACCGTACTGGAAAAAGGCTCGGCGTATACCACTGAGACTATGACATTTTTGCAAAGCCATTTAGATTTTTTTTTATCCGGATGTAGGGATCGCCTTATGACATCTTTCGTCATAACTTTGGAATTTTTAGTCGACGCTTAAAATGTGCTATATTTATGTTCTTGTCTCGAAAAGACACTATGGCGGCCACGGTTCTAGTAGTTACCTACCAGATCTCAGTTCTTATCGCCCTAACATACCACCCTGTCATAGTAATTTAAAGTCTGCCAAAAGTCATTCAACTTTTGTTCAGGAAGTATGTAAACAGCAAACAATTTTTTTTTTTGAAATTGCCTTGCAAATTTTTTTTAGATTCAGGGTTGCATGGCGAATTTGCTGTGTGTTTGCTTCTAACCTGGTACGATCTAATGTACATTTTACTACAATCTTTAAAATTCACTTTTCATCACTTTAAATATAATTTTCAAACTTTGCGAAAAAATTGTTTACCAATTAAATAGATAGATGCATTTTTTTTATTCAAAAAAAATTCCCGTTAAATAAAATTTTCGTCGGATGAATGAATGTCAAAAGAAAAAAATCGAAATACAATTACTTACTTATGGAAGTGCGACGAATACGACAGGAAAGTCGGTTCACCTATTCCACTACTCGCCGAAGTAATGACCACGCCCAGCAATGCCATCCACTCGGCTGTGGCAAAGCCAACTAGCAAAAAACCTGAAGCTGATAGCAGAACAGCGAGCAGAATTTTGAAGCTGTCGATGGAAAGAAATAAACGAAATATTAAAAAATCTTTATCAAACACAACGCGCAACACTCACTTCACCCAAAATGGCAGGAACGGTATCACAATTTTCACACACAACGACGGCAAGATGTCAGCCAGCAAAATCGCACCAGTCGACACCAGATGACATTTTCGGGTATCCTCGTCCGTATTCTCTGTGGTATTATCATCGACCTCTGAATCTTGAAATTGCGCAATAATATCGTGTGCCGCACTCAACATCACCACATAGCCATAGTTGTTGCAGAGACCCAATATCCAATAGGCGGTAAGATCACGCCATAGCTTGCGATCCTTGGGCGGTGGATGTGGTGTGACGGGTGAGGCGACAACTACCTCTTGATTGCTGGTCATTTTGTTGCGATTTAGCGCTATGTATCACAATGAGAGTGCTGTGAAGAGTGGACGAAACTGAGTAAGTGTTTAGTTGCTTGTGTAAGTTAATTTTTTAATAAAAATAAAATTTCAATTACTGTTTCTACTATAATATGTGGTTTAATTTCGAAGCACGTGCGCGCGTTATTAGTTCCTTGCATTTTAAGTAGTTTCATTATTTATTGTTTTCATTTTCAATTCTACCGATTATTGACTACGAGGTTAGCATCACGTTGCTTTGCGGTGGTAGATATTTTTGGAAGTGTTTTTTAAATATAATCTATTCCCGAGGTAAACTGCTAATATGGTGACGCGTATTTAATGCAACTTATTTCACGAACATCCAAATTAGAAATTTTTTTCTAACAGCGATCGTCCCTCGGCAGGCAATGGCAAACGTCCAAGTATATTTCGGTCATGAAAAAGCCTCTCATTTGCCGTTCGGAAGCGAATGTAAAACAGTAGGTGCCTCCCTTCGTGCCACAAAATCAAGATGCACACCAAATAGTGAAGGGGAAGCTCAGCCAAATACTTAGTAAAAGTGTAAACACCAAAATATTATTATTTTTAAGGCTGTTGCCTTGAAATCGTGAGGGTTAAAGTCTAGTTTTACCACCCTGCTGTAGAAAGTTTAATCAGGCAGTAAAAAATGAGATAATTTTCAAATTAAGTTCTTTCTAAACGTAAGTCATAAACTAATACGAATCCAACTTCATTTAAGTGATTTATGGTTCCATTGGAATTTCACTCTTCATTTATAACGGCGATAAGGAGACTTCACGTTTTCAAAGAAAATAATCGTTCTTCACGGCATACGTTTGTACATACATAGGGCCAAACACTTCAAATAACCAACGTCGGGTCGGGTGGCAATGATAATAATCAGGCAGGTTCCGCAATTTACTTCCGAGTAAATTTCAACCGCATACAATTTGAATTCAAAGTGAAATTCACTCGGAAGTGAAACACAATGGTAGGACCTCTCCGCATTTGGAATGAGCAACTGGTACAAATTCGCAGAGGCGAGAGGCAACTGGCGAAGCTTTTTGATTTCAGCCAAAACCGACAAACGGTTGTAGTGCCAAGTAAGGAGAAGAATAATTCACAAGGAACCTTTCATCCGAGGCAAAAAACTAGTCCTAGGTTCCAAGACACCAGCATTCGTCCGATTAAAATAGTATGGTGGTAAGAACTAGATAAATGTAGCTAAAACGAATTACTCGGAAGAGTACAAATATTCGCATGCTCCGCACTCCGTGGTTGGCCACGCCAACCTACGCACAGTGGGTCAAACAGAGAAGTGTAAGTTTCAAATTGAACGTTTTCTATATTTTGCACCGGTGTCTGGTTACTCATAACAAAAATCGGTTTTTTTAAAGCAGATTTTTTAAATTTTTTTGTTCGCTATCAGTTAAAACTCTACTCAAAAATAAGAAAACAAAATATTCTTGCACAGATTACCGGTTATTTTTTTACAAAAGCCGAATTTTTTTAAGGCGACTTTTTTAATTTTTCTTTCATTTAATTTTTTCCAGCAAATGCATATTAAACAAATTTTTAAACAATAATATTGTTTAAAATCGTAAAATGTAGTAAAATTTTGTTTTTGTAAAATCCTCGCCGGAGGAAGACAGAGCCAGACAGAGCTATCAGTTAAAACTCTACTTAAAAATAAGAAAAGCCATTTTTTTGAGGTTTTAAACTTTTTTAATTTTTTTAATACGCAACCCTGATTTAGATTCTAATTTTTTCGAAATTGTAGGTCACAACATTTCCAAATACATATTTATAATACATATGTATTTGTTACCATAGCATAAGCAAGAAATAAACTAACAAAATACTCCTTTTGAAAACGCAATTTTTGCAAATAATTTTTTTTTTTATGTTTGGGATCTTTTTAGTAGACGAATGGAGTTATATGAAATTTTTACTGAAATCAATGGGCATTATCAGTAAAAACTAAATGATTGCCTTGTCTTAAATTTTTACACCTTTTACTTAAATTTATTTGAAGAAATCGTGTAAAAGGTCTGAAATTTTAAGAAAAAGCAATTGCTTTGTTTTTATTCATACGGCTCAAAAATTTCTGAAAATTCAATTATAAAACCCTTAGAGCACTTATTTAGCAATAGATAAAAACTACTTAACTATTTTGAGATATTTATTTCCTTTAAGCTTTATCTTTATATCCTTTGTAGTAAGTAAATTCAAAACTATATTTACACTTCTAAAATGTATTAACATCGAGCTATATATGTATGTATGTATGTATATATTATATGTAATTCTCAAGCATTTTGACGGAAGTTGATTGCGTACTTGTTTACCGGCATGGATGACAACATTTTGCCTTAAAAATACTTACATTTGTTTATGTCTTGTTATATATATTTATTTGCATTATATATGTGCTATATACTCGTCTCAGTAATTTAGTAAACAATTTACTATACTCCTTCTTTGATCAAATCAACCTTTACCTCTAAAAAAAAATTATAAATGAATTTCAAGTAGAAATTATCTATAGGACATGCATTGTGACTACATAATTAAAGCTTCCGCACACGTGCCATTTGCAAATGCAATAGATACAGATAAATGCAATTTTATGCCAATCAATTCAGCGGAAGGGAGGAAGTGCTACGCGTCGTATGAGATATCCATCAGCAAGCAGGGAAAGAGCAATATAATTGGGCATATTAAATGTTAGCATTGTTATATTTCATAAAATTCATATAACATAAACACATATAAACAAATTAAGTTGAGCTTGGTTTGCATACAAAATTTTGAAATCAAAGAAAAATTCTAAGAAAAAAATATATCGATCATCGTTCATACTGTACAAATACATATGTACATATCTATTAAATCCGTTTGGCAGTGGAAAATATAAAATTTGTAATTCACTTTGAATATTAGACGTTTATAAACTTGTTACTTTTAAGCCAAGTGCTTACATTGCGGCTATTGCCGGCTACTGCCGGCTCTACGTGACTCTTTTTATTACCCGATATTTGTTTTGTTTTACGCCGTTTTTTTTTTTTTGATGTTGTATTGCTTTTATGGATGTATGTATGTATGTGGATATTAACTTGTCAGTTCATTAATTTGAATATTTTGTTGCAGCATTTTCAAGTTCAATTAGCCGGTGAAGGTAAGTCAAGCGTCTCCAGTAGTTGAAACGAGAACTGAACGGAATTTACAATTAGTTTTTTTTAGATTTTGCTCACCTACTTCATACGTAAATATTGACTGCTTAGGAGGAATATAGTTGTGAAAACTTGACTTGACTTGCCGTCAGTAATAATTTTTACGAGAAATGTATATTCACAAAATGTAAGCGGATGGATATACATACATATTAAAAATTTTATGATTTTGCAAAACCTAATTTTATCAGTTAAACATTTTTATATTGAGAGTCAGAAGTTTCAAAGGCCAGATCAAGGCATAATCAACAAGGTATAAAATTATGCAATAATAAAGGACGTTGTACCTTGACAGCTTCTCGCTCTACTCCGACATATTAAGCTCCCTTAGAAAATTCAATTTGCATCTTTGAGAAACTACTTTCAATTTTACAGCGAAAATGTACTAAAAAGGGCACTACCATTTTGTTTTAACTACTATTCGATCCTGATTGAATTTGACTACTACAAATGCCAAAATTTTGTAATTGAAGCAAGAGATTTTTGATCTTTTGCTTGGGACCAACAAAAATTCTTTGAGGCCTGAACTCAGATTGAATAGTTTTACAACATGTGAGCTTAAATAAATTTTTTACCAATTCAATGGGAAATCGATAAAATAAATAAAAACTTTAATGAAAAGAACTTTAAAGAAAGAAAAGAAAACTTATATTATTGCTGCCTTTATTTAATAGAAGATAAATTTTATTTAAGAAGGTAGCAATATGTATATTAAATATTAAAATTTCTGTGAATAAAAATCAATAATATATAAATAATGTATTCTTGTAAACTAGGTTAAGATTTAATATAAAAATAAATATAATAAACAATAACAATAAACAGTCAATCTTCTTCTTATTTAGTACTGTAACCGCCTAAGAGATTGGGCTTTGGTGGGTCGAAATACATGTCGGTAAGTGGGTCTGGTTAAAAGCATACACCACTTTTATTGTTTTGTGTGCCGGTGTACTTATTGATGAAAAATTGTATACTAAAAATAGTACCCTTTTAAGTACTTTTTATAATATGGCCTTCCTTTTCCCATTTTCACTAGGAAGTTTGCCATTGCCTGCCCGGGGGCGACCACCATTATGCTGAATTTCCACTTTCCATGACAAAAATCACAAATGACAAAGTTGGGCATTAAAAAATTATCGTGTCTAACTAAGTTCATTTCCACATGGCATTGTTTTAAATGGCATACATTTTTTGTAATTTTAATGCCTAGTGGAAATTCGGCATTAGAAAAATTTTGTTTTCGATTGTACTCGGAAACTGGGCCCGATCCTAGGCCCTGCAGAATGATAGTGCTAACCACTACACCACAGATACCGCCCATTTACTTATGCAATAGATTAACAACGTATGCATAATTAGACAATCATTTGTCGTTTATTTTCGGTTCAGTTGATTTCTGGTAATTTTAGTCATTCATTAAAATTATCTACATTACGAGCTATTAACTATTTATTTGCAATACATATGTACATACATACGTTTAACACGAATGCTTGTAAGCTATTTAAATTAATTTTTTCCTTTAATTAAATAAGTACTTATGTATGTATGTACATATATAAATATTTTTGTAGGTGTTACGACAACACATGCGTGCATATATTGTGCTGCATTTAATTGATTGATTTATAATTTTTTGGAATAACCGAATAATAGTAGCATTTAGTGATAGAATACGAAAATCCATTAATCAATACATAAATAAATTAATTAATGGATTTAACAATGGAAGTGAATCATAATTGGCCATTCATATGAATATTGTGGTAAAATAAATAATTGATTAAATTGACAAAAATTAAATATCAAAATATAAGAATAAATAATCTTTGAAAATTATTTGGTGATAAACAAAAAATATTGCCAATATTTTAACCTACTTGAAAACCTCAGAATTCTATAAAAAGAAGATATCAAATAAATTACATTAAATATACGCTAGGATGAAGGGTGAGTACATCTCTTCAGTGTACTGTGCATACATGCTACATACATACACAAATATGCTCATTGAAATTAATAAGATACAAATTTGTACCCTAAAAAAACGCGCTAACCCTCTTCGAAAATATTTTTTAGTTGGAGTTCTCAAAAATACCTTTTATTTGATATCCATATTGCCTTATTTTACTTTAATTTATTAAAATTGCAGACCTTTTACTCGATTTATTCAAATAAATTTAATCTGTATACAAATATCATCAAAATCGTTAGAGCAGAAGAATTGAGCGTTCAAATAAAATTAAAATAATCACATGTTTCAGAGCAGATTCCAACAGGTTTGCTTATGTAGCTAAAGGAAAATTTTAATAGAGTTGAGCCTTCTTTTGTCACTCGATTACAAAAAAAAACGAGCTATCATATGATTGAGGCTTGCTTTTGCGGCACTTACTTATGAAACATCTGGTTTGCTGTCAGCGTATATCATTGTTATAAATATTATTGAAAAATTTGGGGTGTTCACAGCTCGTTCCAAATTGTGTCTCAAAATCTAGATGTCTACATTTTGAGACATTTTAGCATCAAACTGTGAACACTCCTTTATAGCAGTCGTCGAAAAACTTTACTGGTGTTGCCAGACATTTCTTCTTTGCCTCCATTTTTTATATGTCGTCTTTTATTTTAATTCTGAAAAATTTTAATTTTTTAACCAAATTACCAATTGCTAGTAGTATTTGTTCTTTCTTTACCTTGATTTGTTTGTTTTCGTTGTGCTTAAATCAAACTCAAATACGGGAAAGGTCCCCAATAATTTAAAAAAAAAATGTGATTGGTGTTGCGATAATGCAACCCTGCCACGAGGTTGCAAAATGTAGACGCTTGCCTTTGGGTGTGGCAAATTTAAAACGGCGTCGTTTTCTAATTTTGTATGGGAAACAGCAACACCACAGATTTTACGATTAGACGTCTACATTTCGAGACCCAATTTGAGAAGTTTTGGGCATAAAGCAAGCATGCATATGTATGTATGTATGTAAATATGTAAGTATTAAGTTTTTTTTGTGTTTTTTTCTTGCAACTGAAAATTATATACATATGTATGTACATAAATTGTCGCAGCTTCCGCTCTGGCATTCGAACTCATGATTATTGCCTAATATTGAGTTAAAAATAAAACCTACGTTTGTTTACTTATTATTGTTTAGCTAAAACAATGTGCAAATCACATGTCAATTAAGGTATTCGATTTGATTTCCAACATTGCATCCTTCAATGTATTCACTTTTTGTTTTTACACTTTATAATTAACTATAATGGGTGCATAACATAACAAGCATGCAAAGAATATTCTTGAATATATACATACATATATGCGCACGTACATACATATATACGTATGCGCATTTAGATGTAAAAAATCAAAAGCAACTAGTGAAATGAAAATATAACGGCATAGATACGCCGCAGATACTTAAAAACAATAAATTCCGAATAGACTCATCACAAAAATCTGAAGTCATAATTTGGCTAGTGGGATTTGATCTGACTACTGAAGTGAGTTCAACCAACTAACTATGGGGCATTAATTAATGAAAAAGTGTTCTCTTAAGTCACGTCAAGAAATATTTGAAGGGATTTTTCCACAGAAAAAAGGAGAAAAAATATTGGAATACTTTTTAGACGAAACTCACTTACTCTGTACACCGCAATTCTGGTAACTATCTTTTAATTCACCACAGTCTTTCGAAAGACAAAAGGCTTTCGTAAGGCAATTGTCAATGCTGGCAACTATCTTGAAAACTCTTTTCTGTCATTCAAAAGACTAATTGAAAGATTTGCTAACGAGGAGGAGGTTATTCTGTTTGTCTTTTGGTAATAATTTCTCCCAAAGTTAAATCCAATTAATAACAAAATATATTTTTCCTTTTAAAACAATAGAAACTAAAAATCAAATGAAAAATAAAATAAAAAAGTAATTAAAAAATAAATGAAAAAAGTTTCTAAAAATCAAATAAAGTTTGATAAAATATGCCTATTTAAACAATAAAATCGAAAGAATTAGAAGACACTTTTATCAAAATAAATAAAAAACGTCCTAAAAATTAAATGAAATAAAAAATATGTTTATTTTTATAATAATTAAGTTCAAATATAAAAACAAAATTAAGTTAAAAAAATTAATAATAAATTAAAAAATAAGATAAACAACAGCTCTAGCGGACACTTAACTAATGATCATTAAATCTGTTAATTAATGTTTCCTCTCAGAATTAAAAGATAAGGGCTCATTAAATTTAAATATGGCCCCAGGTGCAGCTTTTTTTTGTGGCATCACTCACATATTTCGTTCAGTTTGAAATCAAATATAAAAATAAGTATTTATATCATTTTGGGCACACTAGAGGACTGGCAATCCATTCGAGAGATCCGAGTTCGAGTCCTATTGTAGAACATTTTTTTCTTTTTTTATTTATTAATATTTTTTATGTTAAGTTTTTAGAAATTTATTTTATTTAAATTTTCGCTTTTTTATTTAGTTTTCTTTTGATTTTTAGAATTTATTGTTTTTAAATGGAAACTCATTTTTGTAATTTATATACAAATGGTTTCGGTCAAAAGAGCTTTTCACCATGAAAGTTCGCAAGGAAGCTTTTTTGTAAAACTTCATGACAGAATAAACAAAATCTTTCAAAATTGCCAATAGTATTTGGATGTGAATGCCAAAGAATAATGTAAAGCAGTTAATATTACAAAACTGCTGCAGCAAATAAATTACTTAAAAAGAAAAAATTATATTTCAAAAAAAAAATAAAATTTTTTTATAAAAAAAAAAAATTTATTATTACTGTCTGTTGGCAAAAATCAGCCTCTGGATACCATCCGATTGGATATTTTCCTTTATTTTGTATAGAAGACTTTTAGCCCTTAAATTATTTATTTAACTGAATTTTTTACTTTGAAAAGTGTGCTCATGTTCGAAATGTATGCCTATTTCGCTGATTCTTATAAAACAATATATGTAACTGATTTTTTCATACTTTTTTTAATTTTCGCGGTCCTTTTTTGATATTTCCGATTGCCAAAAAATCTTAAACGACGCCACAAGATTTTAAATTGCATTATTCTGTAAGTTTTTCATTCAACTTACCACGAGGCAAAAAAATTAATGCTGCGTTAATTTTTAGTTTACTTAGTTTTTTATTTTTGTTTATATAACTATTTCTCTTTGTTCTATTCAATTTGTAATTACTTAAGGAATTTTCAAAAATTAATCTTGTGCTATTTTCGTTATTTAGAATTAACTGCTTATGCAAAAATTTCATTCACAACACTATTAATTTGTTCTATTTTTTTATGCATAAAAGTCAAGTCGCTAAATTTAAAAAATCACCTTATGCAGCAGCTTCTTACTATGTACTTAGAAATTTTTAAGCGTTTCACGTGTAGCGCGAGCTGCTTGCCGCCAGCAACTGAACTCACCGCCAAAAGACGCGAACTCAATCAGTGATTGAATTTAAAAAACAAGTGAAGTGCATGCGTACATACATACTTACATATATTAGTATATAGAACAACAATAAGAAAGTGCGGCTGCAGCTCAATCTACAAATGAACCATAAAACAATAAAGATTAAAGCACAAAATAAGAGAACAAAACGACAAAAAGAACGTTCGACTTTTCGGTGATTTGGCGCTTTGGCGCTTTGGCGCTTTGAAATAACGGGTGATTTTTTAAGAGCTTGATACCTTTTTTTTTAAAAAAAACGCATAAAATTTGCAAAATCTCATCGGTTCTTTATTTGAAACGTTAGATTGGTCCATGACATTTACTTTTTGAAGATAATTTCATTTAAATGTTGACCGCGGCTGCGTCTTAGGTGGTCCATTCGGAAAGTCCAATTTTGGGCAACTTTTTCGAGCATTTCGGCCGGAATAGCCCGAATTTCTTCGGAAATGTTGTCTTCCAAAGCTGGAATAGTTGCTGGCTTATTTCTGTAGACTTTAGACTTGACGTAGCCCCACAAAAAATAGTCTAAAGGCGTCAAATCGCATGATCTTGGTGGCCAACTTACCGGTCCATTTCTTGAGATGAATTGTTCTCCGAAGTTTTCCCTCAAAATGGCCATAGAATCGCGAGCTGTGTGGCATGTAGCGCCATCTTGTTGAAACCACATGTCAACCAAGTTCAGTTCTTCCATTTTTGGCAACAAAAAGTTTGTTAGCATCGAACGATAGCGATCGCCATTCACCGTAANACTAAGTTTTTTTGATATTTCCAAATCCAATAAAACTTGATACCTTTCCGAAATATTTTGGTGGAACTCTTAGAATATAATAAATTGTATAATTCCGGTGGAAAAAACGCCACTTTTTCTTTGGCAAGGCAACCTAATGTAAAACTTACTTCAAAAAAATTCTGAAATAAAGATCTATGAAAATAAAATAACACAAGCAGCGAAAAACGTGCAGCGGCACGGCTAATTCTTGCTTCATTGCACGTTTTGTCTTCTTCTTTTCGCTCATTTCGCTTAATTCTCACGTCTACAGACTTCAATAAATGCAACGATCGTATTTTGTTGTGACTGCTGTTGTATTGCAGGCATGCACTGCTTTACAACATATACGCTGATTGGCTGTTAGACCACCAATTTTTGGTGGCCATTCTTCTGGTTTAGGTATAAATGAAAAAAAAATGTTGCTGATAAAAAACCGATTATCAACGGCACGTGTAGTAGACCTCTTAACTTTGAAACTGGTTTGCTATTATGTACATATGTGTATGCCGGCATTTCATGTTCTCGACTGTTTTTTTATTTTATTTTTTTTTATTCGGCTATTTGTTATTATTTCGGTTATTTGCGGTGTGTGAGAAAGGTTAAGATAAAAATGTTGTGCTTGGGCTTGAGAAAATTGTTCGATGGTTTTGGACAAGTCAAAGAGCAATCTCATTTTCGATAGATAAGATAGCTAAAGCTTTAATCTTTCCGGTGACATAATAGATCCTAGTTATGTTTTTCAAAAGCTGCGATTTCGAAAAACTTCGCTCCTTGAGAGAACTCCAAACATTAGAAAACACATCGAAGACATTTTTCTTGACGAAATTCAAGAACCTCCAATCGCCATTTCATCACTGCAGGCTTAATATGCCGTAATTGTTCCAAGCAAGGCGAATTCATATATCTAAAGTGGTGATACCGACGGAGTTAGATTTTCGCTGCGGTTGTACTGATTGTCAAAATGGTATGTTTGTTGTGAAAACCGGTCCTACTGAAATTCATATTCTGGTGTGAAAATTGCAGACTCATTTAGACTTTCTTGATTGAACACCCCTTTTTTCTTCTTTTGCGAGATTAGCATCGTGTCGCCTTTTCAAAGTCCTTATTTTTGTAGATGGATAGTAACACAGCGCAATTTCCTATCGAATCAGTTGATATACTCATGAGATTGCGCTGGAATTACAATAAAAAAATTTAACGCCATCCCACAATTTTCGATATTAGTCGTCTTCATAAATTCGTGATTGGCTCGCGGCCCAAAAGCATAGATGTATATTATATGGATCTACATCATCTGCTTATACTTGCTCCAAATTTATAAACTAAGTTGTGCGGAAATTTACCAGCTACATAGTATTTGTAAAAACTAAACCTATTTTTAAGTTATGTATGTGCGCGAGTGTAAGGGCTGAGCCATCTCAATGACAACGCACTCGAAATGATCCAACTAAACGGCTGTGCAAAGTTCGAAATAACAACCACCCAACGAGGACAACTTTTTAAATAAATAAAAATAACAAATAAATCGATTAAGAAACGTACATATGTATAAACATAATGTAACTATGTATGTATAGTGCTAAATCATACATAGCTGCAGCAGAGATCATTGGCTAAGATTCACGTGCCAAGAAACAGGCGATCATTCGAAAGAAAATACATAAATATTTAGCACTGCAATCGCACTTGCGCTACAAAATGAGCGCAGACTGACAACTTATATGAATACAAACAGATGTAAGTACATACATACATACATATGTTTGTGTATACATACGTAATTAGTACAAAGTGTATGTGCATAAGAAAAGAAGCAATTGCACACAACTAAATAAATAATTAAAATGCATTAAAAAAAAACAATCAGAAATAAATAAATCGGCCGACTTGAACATGCAAAACGATCTGTCACGAGTAAAATTCCACACGCAAGTTATTTTAAAATAAAAACACATGTAAATATGTACATTTGTGTACTAGTACATGAAGTGTTGTTGCGTTTGAGCACGTTTTCTGCAAAAACATATTTATGTACATATGTGAGGGTAGTCCAAAAAAATTATAGCGGTAGTTTTAATGCTCTAACCCCCAAAGATTGATCTATACCGAAAAAGTATACCCTTTTTTATTTGGAAATCAAAAAAAAAAAACAAATTTTCTTAGAAATTATATAGAATTCTTGAAAACCATAATTTGTCGATCGGAAAACTCTGTTTCTCTGTGATTTTCATGAAATCTATAGAATTTCTTCGAAAACTTGTTTTTTTTTTTGTTTGCCATATAAAATACATTATAAACTTTGAGCGCTTTGAGCGACCTCTAAGTGTGTTTTGATCTCATAAAAAAAGGGGTATTTTTTCGGTACATAACAATCCTATGGAACGAGGCATTAAAATTCCGACTGTACTTTTTTTTTTACCACCCTAATGCACATAAATATCTAAATATAACGCGCCCGAAGTACTAGGAGTTGTCAGAGGGGTGAATAACAAAGAACAAGTGGAAGACAAAGAAAAGCAAAATAAGACACTAACTAACTGATCATATTGATGAAATGAAGTGGCATATCGAGTGATAAGGAGCGAGGGAGAATAAGTGCATTCGATTGCTTGTTGACAATCGCAAACGAAATGAAATTAATGATGATGTTTTGAGGTTGAAAGGTCTTCATTTTAATAACTATGTGGGTGTTCACACTAGCCTGGTTATCAGGTTATCTGGCTAAAAATGATGGTTCTATAGTGTATTTCATTTGTTGGATTGAACACACACGATGTATTTGATATTATAATTACATATGTATGCATGTAGTTTAGGTTAGGTTAAGTTAGGCTGCCACTGACTAAACGAGCAAACATAGGTAAAAATTTGTTGGGCCCGTTGTGATACCGTGGAGATCATGTATCATGAAAACTCTCATAAAGAAACCATCGTGCGGAGTCTGCGATGCCTAAAAGTTTTTGTATTCCCACTTTAGCAATGCATGTCGGTTAAACCCTCGAGCCTATGAACTTTCTTCGTATTCTACAGAGTGCTGCAATGGGTCTGACTCTTCTTAATTTCTGGAGCTTCTGCGAAAGCCGTTATGGATAACCCCCACCTCCCCACATGCCTGACGATGGCAAACAGTTTTTTACAATTCGATTTCCTCAAAATTTTGTTGTTGTTCTGAAACAGATTTCCTAAAGAAGAATTTTAAAAATTGCAAATTTTTTGTAAAAAATAATTTTTTCTTAAAAATTTTTCTTTCAAGTACATATTTTTACTTAAAAGTGTTTTTTTTTTTTAATGAGATGTTGAAACATCTTGTTTTCTCTAAAAAATTGTTTCTGTTTCTGTATCTTTTTCGTATTCTCTTTTCTTGTTGGTTCTCAATTTTTCCAGTTTGAGTAAAACTATGTTCTAAAATTTTATGATAAAAATAGCTAATGGAAAAACATTTTGGGAAGCATGTTTCCCTTGGTCCTAAAGGGGTTAAGATCTAAATCTCTTCGAATGAGCTCGAAGGCAGTGAGCGAATTGTGAAAGTAGAGCAGATGCGCCATCTCTTGCAAGTTCATGCCCCTTGTAATTGTAAAAAATGTTCCGGTGCCCTGATACCCATACACTCAGAAAAAAATGACAGGAAAGCAATT